CTTGTTGTCTCGGATTCTCCAGCATCTGCAGTTCCTACTATCTCTGATTCAAGGGTAAATCTCCTAATGTCTTGATCAATTTTTGTTCCTGAATTGGAATCATTAAAACCAATTATCTTTCTTTTTTATTCATTTATGGGATTTGGGCATTGCTGGCTGGCCAGTATTTATTGCCCGTCCCTAGTTGCCCTTGAGATGGTGGTAGTGAGCTGCCTTCTTGAACCGCTGCAGTCCACCTGCTGTGGGTTGACTCACAATGCCATTAGGGAGTAAGTTCCAGGATTTTGACCCAGCAGCAGTGAAGGAATAGCAATATATTTCCAAGTCAGGGTGGTGAGTGGCTTGGAGGGGAACTTGAAGGTGGTGGTGTTCCCATATGTCTGCTGCCCTTGACCTTCTAGGTGGAAGTGGTTGTGGGTTTAGAAGGTGCTGTCTGAGGATCTTTGGTGAATTTCTGCAGTGCATCTTGTAAGTAGTACACACTGCTACTACTGAGCTTCGATGGTGGATGGAGTGAATGCTTGTGGATGTAGTGCCATTCAAGTGGCTTCTTTATCTTGGATGGGGTCAAGCTTCTTCAATGTTGGAGTTGCATGCATGCAGGCAAGTGGGGAGTGTTCCATCACACTCCTGACTTGTGCCTTGTAGATGGTGGACAGGTTTTGTGGAGGTGAGTTACTTGCCACAGTATTCCTTGTCTGTGACCTGCTCTTGTAGCCACTGCATTTATGTGGTGAATCCAGTTGATTTCTGGTCAATGACAACTCCCAGGATTTTGATAGTGGTGGATTCAGTGATGATAACATCATTGAAGGTCAAGGGACAGAGGTTAAATTGACTCTTATTGGTGATAGTCATAGCCTAGCATTTGTGCAGCACAAATGTTGCTTGCCACTTGTCAGCCCAAGCCTGGATATTCTTCAGATTTTGTTGCATTTGAACATGGACTGCTTCAGTATCTGAGGAGTTGCAAATGGTGCTGAACATTGCGCAATTATCGGTGAACATCAACCCATGACCCTTATGATTGAAGGAAGGTCTTGATGAAGCAGCTGAAGATGGTTGGGCCTAGGATGCTACCCTGAGGAACTCCTGCAGAGATGTCCTGGAGCTGAGATGACTGATCTCCCACAACCATGACCATCGTCCTATGTGCCAGGTATGACTTCAACCAGTGGAGAATTTGCCCATGATACCCATTTTGCTAGGGATCCTTGATATCCGACTCATGTTTATTGTCACTCTCACCTCACCCCCTTAATTCAGCTCTTTTGTCCAAGTTTGAACCAAGGCTGTAATGAGGTCAGGAGCTGAGTGGTTCTTGTGGAACCCAAACTGGGTGTCACTGAGCAGATTATTGCTGAGCAGATGCCATTAATAGCACTGTAGACGACACTTTCCATCATTTTACTGAAAATCAGGAGTAGACTGATAGGGGTGGTAATTGGCTGGGTTGGATTTGTCCTGCTTTCTATTTTCAGGACATGTGGGCAATTTTCCACATTGTCGCATAGATACTAGTGTTGTCACTGTACTGGAACAGCCTGGCTAGTGGAGCAGCAAGCTGTGGAGCACAAGTCTTCAGTACTGTTGCCGGAATCTTTTCGGGGCCCATAGCCTTTGCAGTATCCAGTGACTCCAACCGTTTCTTGATATCACGTGGAGTGAATTGAATTGGCTGAAGCCTGGTATCTGCAATGGTGAGGACCAGTTGAGCGGTCCCAGATGGATCATCCTGTTGGCATTTCTGGCTGAAGGTCACTGCGAAAGCTGGTTAATATCTCGTTGTTTAGGAACTATGTAGTAGGCAAAATGGCTTTCATACAGTGACTATACTTTGAAAGTACTTTATTGACTGCAAAGCACCTTGAGACTTCACGGTGGTGAAAGGCAGTCAATAAATGCACAATTTCTCAGTTGCTTTGCCTGATTGATTACTCCAAATATTTATAATTTTATATCTACTTAAACATACAAGATGACATGGGGAGAAATGGTGGAAGGTGGAGGATGACAATTGCAAGTGTGACAAATGTACAGTGTCAAAATTCAGTTTAAATCTATCGATTTGAGCTTGTACTAGAAATAAATGTAAGTGTGGAAAAAGATGTGATATCTGTATGCCAGGTCTCTTAAAAAGTAAGTGCGCAAAGATGTCAAATTTTTAATATAAGTTGACAAATATATGTGGGCATTAATACTACAGTAGTTTCATTTGATGATCCGGTGGTGTCCAGCTCTGCACACCTGAAGTAATTTCATAAACCCAAATTAGATTGCTATATTGTAGTAACACCCAAGTTAATGCCATTCCACTTTGATATGCTTAACAGAATATTAGTCTATCAGAATTGTTTCTTTTAATTTATATGCAACCTTGATCTGTCTTGTGCAGGTTTGCTTACAATTTCTTTTGCATGAGGTGTCCAGTCCAACATTACCCAGTCATGCATTTAAGGACAACTCAACCATTGTAAGTATTAGAGCTGCATGGTATATGTGTTACATTATACATGAGTTCACTAATCGTGAATGTCTGTTTAGGAAGCACATCTGTTACTGTCTGTGACACATGGGAATTTCTGAGAGATGCAATAAGGCACTAAAAGTGTAAGTATCTTTTTCCCTCCATTTGTTATTTGATAGGCTTTGATGCCAAAGGTAAGCAGCTTTATTTTACTATGGGTGACCTGCAGATTGATTCTCTGAGATCAACTTGTTTATGGTGCACAGAATATTACAAAAATAATGACAATGCTCAACTTAGCCCACTTCACAACATTGGCTTGCCTTAAACTAATTTGCAAAACCCTCTGTGCATGAATTGAAGTGATATATATGACACAGTGACTCAAATAGTTTTCTTCACTGTCTGCTGCAATGGCATTGTTCCCTTCTGCTTTCCCTCTATCTATTAGACTGTAAAAAATCACATAAGCCTGAAAAGGTTTCCTTTCAGTTTCTGTGAGGTTTAGTTGAGCTTTCCATGCTTGGCTGTGCTCTTTTTATATTACCACAAGAGTATCAGAAATAGGAGCAGATGTAGGCCATTTGGCCCATTGAGTCCACTCTGCCATTCAGTGAGTTTGTGGCCGATCTGATGATCCTCAACACCACTTTACTGCCATATCTCCATAACTCTCAATGATTAGAAATCTAACTCAGCCTTGAATATGTTCAACAACTCAACCTTAATAGGCCTTTGCAGTAAACAAATCCTACAGATTCACCATCTGTAGTGATAATAATGAGGTCATAAGAACTAGGAGCAGGGGTAGGCCATCCGGCCCTTCGAGCCTGCTCTGCCATTCAATAAGATCATGGCTAATCTTTTCGTGGACTCAGATCCACTTACCCGCGTTCTCACAGTATCCCTTAATTCCTTTATTGTTCAAAAAAATATCTACCTTATCTTTAAAAACGTTCACTGAAGTAGCGTCAACTACTTCACTGGGCAAGGAATTCCATAGATTAACAACCCTCTGGGTGAAGAAGTTCCTTCTCAATTCAGTCCTAAATCTGCTCCCTCTAATCTTGACGCTATGCCCTCTTGTCCTAGCTTCACCTGCCAGTGGAAACATCCTCTCCACTTCTATCTTATCTTTTCCCTTCATAATTTTATATGTTTCTGTAAGATCCCCCCTCAATCTTCTGAATTCCAATGAATATAATCCCAATCTACTCAGTCTCTCCTCATAAGCCAACCCCCTCAACTCCGGAATCAACCTAGTGAACCTCCTTTGCACCCCCTCCAGTGCCAGTACATCCTTTCTCAAGTAAGGAGACCAAAACTGCACACAATACTCCAGGTGTGGCCTCACCAGCACCTTGTACAGCTGCAACATAACCTCTCTGCTTTTAATCTCAATCCCTTTAGCAATGAAGGACAAAATTCCATTTGCCTTTCTAATTACTTGTTGTACCTGCAGACCTACCTTCTGTGATTCATGCACAAGGACACCCAGGTCCTTCTGCATAGCAGCATGCTGCAACTTTTTACCATTCAAGTAATAATCCTTTTTGCTATTACTCCTACCAAAATGTATGACTTCACAATTACTTACATTGTATTCCATCTGCCAGACCTTTGCCCACTCACGCAATGTATCTATGTTCCTCTGCAAAGTTTCACAGTCCTCTGCACTCTTTGCTCTGCCACTCATCTTAGTGTCATCTGCAAACTTTGACACCCTACACGTGGTCCCCAACTCCAAATCATCTATATAAATTGTAAATAATTGCGGTCTCAACACCGATCTCTGAGGCACACCACTAGTCACTGACTGCCAGCTAGAATAGCACTAATTTATCCCCACTCTTTGCTTCCTGTTAGTCAACCAATCCTCTATCCATGCTAATACTTTACCCTTAACGCCATGCATCCTTATCTTATGCAGTAGCCTCTTGTGCGGCACCTTGTCGAAGGCCTTTTGGAAATCTAGGTACACTACATCCACTGGGTCCCCATTGTCCACCTTGCTCATAATGTCTTCATAGAATTCCAAAAGATTTGTCAAGCATGACCTGCCCTTCATGAACCCATGCTGCGTCTGCCCAATGGGACAATTTCTATCAAGATGCCTTGCTATTTCTTCCTTGATAATAGACTCAAGCATCTTCCCCACTACAGAGGTTAAGCTAACCGGTCTATAATTCCCCATCTTTTGTCTACTTCCCTTTTTAAACAGTGGCGTCACATTTGCTGTTTTCCAATCTGCTGGGACTGCCCCAGAGTCCAGCGAATTTTGGAAAATTACTGCCCGTGCACCTGCTATTTCTCCCGCCATCTCTTTTAGTACCCTGGGATGCATTCCATCAGGGCCAGGAGACTTATCAATCCTTAGCTCCATTAGCTTGCCCAACACTACCTCTTCCGTAATAATGATTGTTTCCAGGTCCTCACCTACCTTCGTCTCTTTGTCAATTATGGCATGTTATTTGTGTCCTCCACTGTGAAGACCAATACAAAATACCTGTTCAATGCCTCGGCCATTTCATCATATCCCATGACTAAATTCCCCTTCTCATCCTCTAAAGGGCTAACGTTACTTTAGCCACTCTTTTTCGTTTTATATATTTATAGAAACTTTTGCTATCTGTCTTTATATTCTGTGCTAGTTTTTTCTCATGTTCTATCTTACTTTTCTTTATAGCTCTTTTTGTGGCTTTCTGTTGACCTTTAAAGTTTTCCCAATCTTGTGGTTTCATGCTGTTTTTGGCCACTTTGTATGCCTTCTCTTTCAATTTGATAGCCCCCCTTATTTCTTTAGACACCCATGGCAGATTACCCTTTTCTTACAGTCCTTGCTTTTCACTGGAATATACTTTTGCTGAGCACTTTTGAAAAATTGCTTTGAAAGTCCTCCACTGCTCATCAACTGTCCCACCATAAAATCTTTGTTTCCAGTCTACTTTAGCCAAGTCCTCCCTCATTCTCTTGTAGTTCCCCTTGTTCAAGCACAGGACCCTGGTATTGGATTTTATCTTCACACTCTCCATCTGTATTCTAAATTCAACCATACTGTGATCGCTCCTTCCAAGAGGATCCCTAACTATGAGGTCATTAATTATTCCTGTCTCATTACACAGGACCAAATCTAGGATAGCTTGCTCCCTCGTCGGTTCCATTACGTACTGTTCAAGAAAACTATCACGGATACACTCAACGAACTCCTCCTCAAGGCTACCCTGACCGAGCTGGTTTGACCAATCCACATGTAGATTAAAATCCCCCATGATAATTGCCGTACCATTTTTACAGGCATTAGTTATTTCTTTGTTTATTGCCCGCCCCATGTGATGTTATTATTTGGTGGCCTATAGACTACGCCTATCAGTGACTTTTTCCTCTTAGAATTTCTAATTTCCACCCAAATGGATTCGACCTCATTCTCCATAGAACCTATATCATCTCTCAGCACCGCCCTGATGTCGTCCTTGAATATCAGAGCTACACCACCTCCCTTACCTTCCTGTCTGTCCTTCCGAATAGTCTGGTACCCTTGGATATTTAACTCCCAGTTGTGACCATCCTGTAACCATGTCTCTGTAATGGCTACCAAATCATATTCATTCGCGATGATTTGTGCCGTTAACTCATCAACCAAATATATTCCCGGCAGCCCCCGGTCCTCGCTGTCGCCCCTCCCTCTGCTGCTGAAAAATGAAGGCTGCTGACGCTCGAGGTAAGCCCTTTAAGAGGGAAAACTTACCTTCCCGGCAGCCCCCTGGTCCTCGCTGTTGCCTCTCCCTCTGTGCTGAAAAATGAAGGCCAGGTGGACCTCAGAATGTGGACCAGATTAACAGCCCTAATCAGGGACCCCTGGCTGACAGATAAAAACAGGAGTCTCAGATATTCCGTTCACTCTGAGAGCTGGCTCTGAGGGAGCTAGATCAGTATGACAGTAAATAAAGGGTGACTTGGTGATGGGATAACAGTCTTTGTGGAGTTATTTCACCATCCTCTTAAAGAAAATAATTTCCTTCTTATCTGTCTTAAATGGTGATCCCTTATTCTGAGGTTACACCCTCTTGTCCTAGACATTCCCACAAGAGAAACCACCTCTCCGCATCTATCCGATCAAGCCCACTGTGAAATGTAAATGTTTCAATCAGGTTTCCTCCTGTTCTTCTAAACTCCCGTGGATACAAGCCCAACCTCCTAAGCTTGTCCTCATAACAAAATCTTTCTATATCTGGGATCAACTAATAATCTTTCCTTAGATTGTCTCCAATGCCATTATATGTCCCCTTACATAAGCGGACGAAACTGCTTCAGTATCCCACCTGTGGCCTGACTAGGCTCTTGTATAGTTTTAGCAAGGATTCTCTGTTTTTATACTCCATTCTCTTTGAAGTAAAGGTCAGTACTCCATTAGTCAATTGGATGATTTGTGATTCACTAGGATGAAATCCCAGATCCCTCTTCGCTGCAGCTTCGAGTGGACTTTCCCTCCTTAAATAATATTCAGCTCTTTTTATTCATCCTGCCAAAATGCATACTTCACATTTTCAAACATTCTAATCCATTTGCTAAGCTTTAGCCCAGTCACTTAATTGGTCTCTGTTTCTCTGCAGATTTTGTTTTATTCTTGCTACTTGCCTTCCCACCTGTTTTGTCTCGTCTGCAAAATCGGCCTAAGCAGGACAGAAGGCCTTTGATAAGGTACTGCATAAGAGGCTGCTAAATAAGATAGAGCCCATTAGGGGCAAAGTACACTGGCATGGATAGTGGAGTGGCTGACTGGCAGAAAGCAGAGAGTGTGTATAAAGGGGTCTTTTTCAGGATGGTACCTGGTGACTGGTGGAGTTCCGCAAGAATCAGTGTTGCGGCCACGCTATTCACAATTATACATTAACAATCTGGACGAAGGAACTGAGTGCATTGTTGCTAAGTTTGAAGATGACACCAAGATCAGAGGAGGGATAGTTAGTGTTGAGGAAGCAGGGAGGCTGTAGATGTACTTGGACATG